TTTGGAATTGGCACAAATATGGATCTCTTCCTGTGCCACCTGACTTTCTTGAAAGATTTCAATTTTTATTCCATCAATTCCTGGTGCCTTATTCTTTGCAAATTTCTTCAATGCACCTTGGACTTTCTCCTTCAGTATCACTGGCTCTTGATCATATGCTACCTCTTGAAATGGTTGAACATTAACCATTTCCTTTTGGTACAGTGACTCTGTATATTCCTTCCATCTTCTCTTGATGCTTTCTGCATCATTCAATAATTTGCCCAGATAATTTTTCAATAACAAAAGCCGAGGCTTAAATTTTTTTCTTCAGTTCCCCCCAGCTTGAGAAATGCTGAGCGTGTTCTTCCTTTTTGGTTTTCTGATTCCAGATCTTTACACATTTATGCTCCATAGGATAGTAGATTTACGTGTGTGTCAGTGTAGAACCATGCTCCATAAGATAGTAGATTTACATGTGTGTCGGTATAGAACTGTGTTCTGTAGGAGAGTAGATTTGCATTTGTGTGCTGGTATAGAAACATGCTCCATAGGATCTTCAGTGGCTAATTCTTTGGAGAATTGGTAGCTATGGAAGCATAGTGGTTACGAATCAGGCTGCAGAATCTCATGGTCAGCAGTTCAAAACTACCAGAAGTTCCGTGGGAGAAAGATGAGGCTTTCTGCTCCTATAAAGATTTACAGCCTCAGAAACCCTATACAGGATCTTTATGAACCAGAACCAACTCCATGGCACATAACAAGAACAACATCAACAATTCTTTGGAAATAGGTCTCCGGGAGTTTCTTCTAAGGCACCTCTGGGTTCTAACTGGCAACCTGTGGGGTTAGTAGTTGAGCACAAACCATTTGTAAATCAAATACACAGGAAGAAATGAAGAGAACTCGTGATAGCAAATAAAAAGTCAATCATAAGAAGTGACAAATCTAAACTAGCCCTCCTTTCAGTTCTCAGCTTCTTTAAAGGCATAGCAGGGAGGTGGATAAATAAATGACATCGAGAGAATATTTGACATGAAATGAACTTTGTTGTTGTAAGTGCCACCAAGTTGGTTCTGACTCATAGCTACTCTGTATAGGGTTTCTTAGGAGCAGCTGGTGGGTTTGAACCACCAACCTTGCAGTTCAAACTGACCTTGTGATTCAGTGCATTACTCTGCAGCACCACTCAGGACTCTGAAATGAACACAGAAATAAATAAAGTTGATATACGGTGGTGGTAGCGGTATGTTGTGGAGTCGATTCTGAGTCACAGCAAACCTGGGTTTCTGAGGCTGGACATCTGTAGGGGACAGAAAGCCTCATCTTTCTCTCACAGACAGCTGGTAGTTTCAAACTGCTGACCTTGAAGTTAGCTGACCAACTCGTAACCACTACACTGCCACAACTCCTTCAACTTGATATATACGAGGTTAAATGTTTTAAAAAGTATTTCTACTAGGGTTCCAGTTCATACATGCACAAGTTTATTCCAAACAAAACGTATTTAAATGTCTCTGCAATCAGTGGATGGTTACAGACAAGCTCTCCCAGTAATACACTTGTCTTCATTTCATCACAGAGCCTTAAAAAATTAACAGCTACAATAAAAACAATGGCTTAAGAGAGGATCTGCTGGCCTGGTTAGATTCAAAGCAGAGAGCACAGCTGAACACTGTAAAGACTGCTTTGTAGAATCCCAAAGGGATCATCTTAATAGTTTTTCTCAAAGGACACTGGATGATCATGAGGGCTTATTAGAAAGAAATGTTAAGAAAATAGAAAATTGCATTGCTGAGAACAATCCGGAAGTTTGAGCCAAGGAAGCTTTTCTTTTTAATCCCGACAATGCATCTGATCTTTGTTCTTGTTGAAGCAAGGGCTGTTCCCTAGGAAGTCACTGGGAGACCTCACCCCAGTCCCCCTGAGAATGTCACCGGGAGATCTCACCCCATCCACCCTGCGGCCCTGAACTTGCCCTTCAAGACATCTCTTTGTTCCCTAAATCAAAGAACACATTAAAAGCAATATAACTGAGTGCCTGAAGGTTACCAAAAGTGCTGTTTTGACACATAGTTCTTCAGAGAAGGGTTTAGAGATATGGAAACACCATACTCAGATGTGCCTACTTAGATGGAGGATATATTGACAAAGAATTGCTTCACATTTTGATATTTTTGTTTAATAACGGTGTCTACTTCACATATAAATCATGAATCACAAACATAATTTTAAACTTAAAACAATTATGTAATTGCTAAGTATTTTGACAAATGTGCAAAAACAAGAAAGAAATCAAGAGATTAGTAAAAAAAAAAAAAAACTTTAAATAGTGGCCACCTCTGTAGAGAGGAGAGGAGGATGGTTTAGCAAAGCAGTTAGACCGTGGGGTACTACAACACTGACATTCCCTGGCTTTGAGTACTTGGGTGTTAACTTTGTTGAAATGCTTTCTACATCATATATGTTAAAATATTTTATATGTTCAGTATCAAACATTTTTAAAAATTAAAGGACAAGTTTATGAGCATTAAAAAGTCATGGAAAAATCCCTATAAGTCTATTTTATTGGTTTGTTACCTCTTGTTGTTGTTATGTGCCGTGGAGTCGGTTCCTGCACAGGGTTTCTGAGGCTGTAAATCTTTACAGGAGCAGAAAGCCTCATCTTTCTCCTGCGGAACAGCTGGTAGTTTCAAATTGCTGACCGTGGTGGTTCGCAGCCCGATTTGTACTGCAAAGTCATTTGAACTGCAAGGTTGGAGGTTCAAGCTCACTAGCTGCTCCTTGGAAACCCTATATGGGGTCACTCTGGGTTGGAAACGACTCAATGGCACTTAACAACAACAACAACAACTTATATATATAATATACATATATACGTACATATATAAGGAGCTCTGGTAGCGTAGGTTGCGAATCGGGCTGCAAACCACAAGTTCAGCAGTTCGAAACTACCAGCTGTTCCGCGGGAGAAAGATGAGGCTTTCTGCTGCCATCAAGATTTACAGCCTCAGAAACCCTGTACAGGGTCGTTATGGGTCAGAACCGACTCGACAGAACTTAACAACAACAACAACATGTACATATATAACATATATGTGTGTGTGTGTGTGTGTGTGTGTATATATATATAGTTATTGTTATTATGTGCCATCGAGTTGGTTCTGACTCACAGCAACCCTGTATATGGTTTCTGAGGAGCAGCTGGTGAGCTGGAACAGCTGACTCAAT